CGAAGCCAAAGTCGCCATTGCAACCTCCTCATAGGACCGTTAGTGGCCGTATATGCAAGGATTATCTTGCAACTGCGAGGGTCGTAATTCCGACTTTTGAAGCTGATCAAAAGGGCTGGAAGTCGGGATTTCATCTCATATTCTCTCATTTTAGAATCCTAGACTCGGTAGTAGGCAATTTGGAGAGGGAATTTTCATCTACAATCTTTGGGTAAGTGATTCTAATCTTTTTCCAACTATATTTCATAAATATATCTTAGATTTAACATCAAAATCATGTTAACCAAAGTGTAAATTTGTCAAAGTTTGTCAAGTTTTAAAAAAATAAGAATTTAAATTTTGAGTGCCGATTTGTACTAGGATTTTGAAATTAATCACGCATATGAAATTGGGGGGTTATGGATAGCCGAAATCTACCCTTAGACCCGGGTTTCGACCGGGCGAGCCCAGGGTCGACCTGTTAGCCCTTGGTCTTTCTCATCTCTAAGCTTGCCACATCACAAAATGACTTTAAGAGTCACTATTTCCATAAGGTAAGGCTGCCACGTGGGGTGGGCAAAAACATTAAATTAATTAATTAGGTAATAATCTGTTACACGATAATTAACCAATTACCTACGTAATTAGGAATTGTCTCAAATTATTTAAAATTCTACTTATTTTTAATACGCTTTATATAACATACTATCATGGTCATGTGGTATCATATAAAATCAATACTTACACTATTATTTCATTAAAACGTCTATGTAAAAATACATATATTTTCTCAATTTTTAATTTTCCTAATCTCATATAAAGAGTAAAAAATTTCGTACGCTTAATTCTTAAAATGGTANAAAGAGAAGAAAAAATTCTTGTACGGTTAGTTCTTAAAATGGTAAGAAGATAACCTTCCTTTCTTGTGAGAAAATAATTTATATCTTTACAATAAAGAAATTCTTTTTGTACTATAAATTCTCAAAACGGAAAAAGGATAATTTTTCTTGTGATAAAATACTATCTATTCTGATAATAAATAAAACATCATTTATAAACTACCACTCAAAATTAACAATTTTAACATTAATAGAATAAACTGTGACATGGTGTTGGCAGTAGCATATATATATATATATATATATATATATATATATATATATATATATATATATATATATAAGGCAACTAACTTCTTACACCAGACAATCAATAAGGTCACATGAAATGTGATGAAACGAGTATAATTGAAATCAAGAAAGAGAAAATGAGAGGGGAAAGCATAACTGAACAGGGAAGGAAATACGGGGCTTATGTTGCATGGGTAAAATTTGCGAGTATTTGATAAGGGGAGGGATCTCGAGGTCGGAGTCGTCATTCCAAATATTTTACGATTCACCAATATGTATATAAGTATGAGTAGGGGTGTTGGGATAGTGCAAATAAATGTGCGCGTAAGATACATATGACAGTTAATTAGAAGTATTGAAAAGTAAATTTCTTTCGATCAACAATCTTGCTTGAATTTACTATTTTAAGTTATTCCAGTGGTGTTCAATAAACCTTATTTGTATAAGATAAGTCACCCAAGGGTAGCCCAACTTATTCATTCTTCTTGGGCTAGTTTAAAACTAGACAATAACCATGTTTTTGATAAAATAAAATGTGTTTGTACCAAAACTTAATTGTAGCCCAAATAAAATCGTGCACGTATTAAAAATTGTGTTCAGCCCATTATTTCAAATACTTCTGCAACTTACAAAAATTAAATACTTAAATTAAAAAGAAGTGGCTTGCGCCTCTACCCTAGCATGTGCCTTTTTTCTGTTTGAAGGCAGTCTTCAGATTAAAATCCAGCGTAGTCATAATAAGTGAGGACAGCCAGCTACTTCCAAGCTACTTCAACTATTAACCAATTGACTTAAGAGTTTCACATGACTTCAAATATTCACCAATTTACTTAAACTATGTTCACATGACTATAAATATTGACCAATTTACTTTATCTATGTTTCTCATGATAATCACCACCCATGGGTTAAAAAGGAAAAATGAGCAATCACAATGAGTGTTTTGACTTTTGAACGAAGGAAACCTAACGTTAAAGTACGGGATGTAATATTAAGCCCATGAAAACAAGAGAAATAATGGTTTCTATAAGTTATAGAAAGCTCAGTATAGCCTGAATGAACTCAAAGGAGTCTAAGACTAGTAGCATTTAGACAAGATGGAATGGTACCATGGTAGTAGAATGAGGGTGTAACTGTGAAAAATGAAGGATGACGTTTGGTCCTTCAATTGAGTAACGATTTCATGAATTGTGCAGGATTAAACACCCACGTAAGGTAAATCACATTGGGATACTATGAAATACCATTATGGAAGCATGGTATCACCCCTAGGTGGATCAGTCTAATCACTTCAGATGTTCCCCAATGAGACGTAAGCCCTAGTAACAATGTATTGCGTAAGAGGTTTCTTACCAGTGGTGGATTATAGATCAAAATTGAGGTGAATCAACAATGGATAGATAAAAGTTACAAAGTATGAGATGAGATTGGCCCATCAATCATAAGATGAACAGTAGTGAAGAAGCGTTAAAGGACTTAGATTTATACATATAGGATAAGCAACAAGAATAACCTGGAGTTTGGTAGCAGGCCTCAGTAACGATAAATCGAAGTATGAGTTATGGTATAGTATGACCTACCTAGATACAGTAAAGTCACACGGATGGATAACCGAGGCTATGAAACAAGATATAGCAATAGTCGTAAATTTGACAAAGTACCGAGCAAAGAACTTCAGTATACCTATAGATGCCCAGAGGGAAACCTTGTCAAGTGTTGTATATGTTCCCAAAGTGAGGCCTAGAGATTGGCTAAAAGCTAAAGGGAAGAGTCGCATAGGCACATATACAAGGAAAAAGTCGTACAGGCTGCATGACAGAAGGTAGCAACAGTTACGAGATTGGAAGGATTCCAATCACAAGTCGTGGTATGAGAAAGAGGCCTAAAGGGGGGAATGCCCCGGCCTTTGGAATTATTCACAGAACACTTTCACTGACAGAAAATTCTTAGATCTCAATTTTCGAACATGCCAGTCTACAATAGCCACTGACTCTTCCCTGTAGGTCAAACTCTCATCAAGCTACACCGTGCTTAAGTCCAAAACATATGACCTATACTCATGGTGCTTCTGAAGTATTAAAACGTGAAATACCGGATGTATCCCTGCTAGGCTAGGAGGCAATGCAAGCCTATAAGCAACCTCCCCAACTCTCTAAAAATCTCAAATGGGCTAATAATACTCGGGGTCAACTTGCCCTTCTTCCCAAATCGCATCACGCCCTTCAAGGTGACACTTAGAGAAGAACCTGCTGACGCTCCGTGTAAGCCACATCTCAAACATTCCGGTCCACATAACTCTTTTGCATGGACTGAGCTATACGAAGCCGCTCCTAAATCACTTTAGTCGACACCAGGGCATCACGAACCAAATCTTTGCCAAACAATCTAGCCTCATCGGGCTCAAACAAACCAAACGGAGAACGACATCGCCTCCCACATAATGCCTCGTATAAAGCCATCTGGATGCTCAACTAATAGTTGTGGTTGTAGGCAAACCCCACTAGAGGTAGAAACTAATCCCACTGACCCCTGATATTTATAGAGAATGCCCTAACATGTCCTCCAAAATCTTAGTTGTACGCTCAGACTATCCATCAGTCTGAGGATGAAACGCGGTACTCATCTTTACCCGCGTGCCTAACTCACGCTGCACGACTCTTAAAAGGTTTGATGTAAACTACGTGCCTCGATCTAATATGTTGTAAATGGGCACACCATGTGGTGGATAATTCTCCTGGATGTAAATATGAGCCAATCGCTTTGAAGAATAGGATCTCATCAGGAGAATAATGTGTCCAGACTTAGTCAATCGGTCCACAATAACTCAAACAACGTCATATTTCCTCAAGGTGCAGGTAAGCCTACCATAAAATCCATAGTGATGCGCTCCCAATTCCACTCCAGTATCTCCAATCTCTATGTCAACCCACCCAATTTTTTATGCTTATGCTTCACTTTATGATAATTCAAACATCGAGAGACATGACTAATAATATCTTTCTTCTTCTTCCGCCACTAAAAGTGTTGCTTCAAGTCACGATACATCTTCATGACACCTGAGTGAAGGAAATACCGTGAACTGTGAGCCTCCTCGAGGATAAACTCTCTCAACCCATGAACATTCGGAACACAAATTCGGCCCTAAAGCCGCATAACACTATCATCTCCAATCACAACCTCCTTGGCACCACCCCTCGATGTATCGTGTCTTTCCACATCAATAAGCGAGGACCATCATACTGGTGAGCCTTAGTACACACCAACAACAATGATTGTGCCACAACACAAGAAAGAACCTGGCTAGGCTCCGAAACATCAAACCTCATGAACCAATTGGCGAAAGCCTAAACATCTATGGCTAATGGCTACTTTACTACCGGTAAAAGGCCAAGCATCCCATACTCTTTGCCTTCATACGCAAGGCATCAACCACTACATTGGCCTTCTTTGAGTGATATAATACGGTGAGGTCGGTATAGACCTCACATGGAACATCGTATAGATAGTGCCTCCAAATCTTAAGCGAGCAAAAAATGGCTGCCAACTCCTAATCATGTAAAGGGTTATTCTTCACATGAACCATCAAATGACGAGATGCATAGGCAATTTCCCCTACCATCCTGCAGCAATACCGCACCAAGTCCAATACACGATGCATCATAATACACAGTGTAAGATCCCGAACTTGTAGGAAACACCCATACTATGGCTGTAGTCAAGGTAGTCGTGAGCTTCTAAAATCTCATCTCACACTCATTAGACCATCTGAAAAGAGCACCTTTCTTTGTCAACTTTGTCAATGGGGCTGAGATAGATGACAAACACTCCATGAACCGGCGGTAATGACCCACCAAACCCAAGAGGCTCCGAATCTCTATAAATAAAGCAGGTCTAGGCCAGTTTTTGAGCTGCCTCAATCTTCTTAGGATCCACCTTAATTCCACTCGGAAGACACAACATGACCCAAAAGTTAACTGAGTCTAACCAGAACTCACACTTTAAAAATGTGGCATATAGCTGACAATCCTTCAAAGTTTGAAACACAATACATATGTGTTGCTCATGCTCCTCTCTAATGCGAGAGTAAACTAGAATATCATCAATAAAGAAAATCACGGAGGAATCCAAATAAGGCTTGAACACTCGGTTCATCAAATCTATGAAGGTTGGTGGAGCATTAGTCAAGCAAAACCATATCACCAAGAACTTGTAGTGACCATAACGAGTTCGAAAAGCTGCCATAGTGACATTCGATGCCCTAATCTTCACTTGATGGTAGCCATATATCAAATCAATATGGGAAAACACCTTGGCACACTGAATCTGGTCAAATAAATCATCAATCCTAGGCAACATATACTTGTTATTGACAGTGACGTTGTTAAGCTCTCGATAATCTATGCACACGCTCATCGATCTGTCCTTTTTCTTAACAAAACCAACACCAGTGAACCCAAGGTGAAACACTCGGTCTAACGGATTCCTTTTCAAGCAAATCTTGAAACTAATCTTTTAATTCCTTCAACTCAGTTGGAGCCATATAGTATGGTGGAATAGAATTAGGTTGAGTGCTCGAAACCAAATCAATGCAGAAGTCGATATCCCTATCGAGTGGCATACAGGGAAAATCTATAAGGTAAATCTTAGGAAACATACACACAACTTGTACCGGCTCCATAGAAGGAACCAACGCGCTAGAATCACGGATATAAGCCAAAGATGCCAAACACCCTTCTCGACCATACACGAAGACTTCAAATATGAAACCACCCTGCTCGTGGAGTGACCGTGAGTCCCGCTCCACTCTAATATAGGAAACCCAACATGGTTAAAGTCATAGTCTTGTCATGACAATCCAAGAAAGCGTGACATGGGGAAAACTAATCCATACCTAGAATGACCTTAAAATCCACCATATCTAACAATAGAAGTTCAACTAGTGTATTAAAACTATTAATAGTAACAACAAAAGACTTGTACACCCGATCCACTACTATACAATCTCCAACCAGTGTAGATACATAAATATGAATATCAATAGAATCACGAGGCCTACTCAAATGAAAAGAAAAATATGAAGACACATAAAATTATGTAGAACCTGGATCAAACAACATGGAAGTATCTATATGAAAAACTGAGATAATACCCGCAGTAACTACATCGGACTACTCAACTTCGGGTCTAGCTAGAAATGCATAACAACGAATCTGAGCAAGATGACCTCTCACTGACTGGTCTCCAACTCTAACTGATTTGCCAGCACCTCAGGCTACTTGACCCCCGCCTCTAGCTAGTTGTGCTAGTGGTAGAGCCATTAGTGCTAGAATCATGGCACGAGCACCCATTTCTGGCATGCCTCTCTATAACTTCAGGTAAAACTTTGTGACATGCTTGAGGTCTTCACATGTATAACAAGCCACTGCTGACCTTGGAATTGTCCTTTTCGACCTGAATAACTACCCTAATAACTCTGTATCAGTGATGCACTAACAGAAACATATGGTGACATGTAAGCTAGCTACTCGGGAGGAGATCATAAGCATTATGACTGGCTGATACACCATGGCTAACCTATAGAGATGACTGAATCGCCCTGCTAGGACGACAACTACAAAAAGAACCCCTGCCTCCAAATGTGGCACCACTAAATCCTATAAAATGGCGAGGCTTCTTTTCAGAGGTAGTCTCCCTACGCTAACCTCTGATGCGCTCGATCCTCCTGGCGACTCCACTACCCAAGTGAAAGAAATTTCATCCTCGGTTTCTCTAGTCATCTTTAACCTGATGCCATATGTAAGGCCATCTATGAACCTCCACACTTTCTTGCTCTCAGTAGGGAACATTATAGTTGTATGGCGTGATATATCCAAAAATATAGTCTCATACTAAGTAATAGTCATGCTACCCTGCTGACGGCGCTGGATTGATTGTGGAACAACTCTATCTGAATGAAGGGAATGAACTTCTCCAAAAACAACTGTGAGAACTGAGCCCATGTGCGAGGTGGTAAACCTGATGGCCTACCCTGTACATACACCTGCCACCATCTCTTGGTAGAACTATGCATCTGAAACAATGTGAAATCAACTCCGTTGGACTCCACCATACCCATGTTGCGCAATATCTCATGGAAACAGTCCAAGAAGTCCTGGGGGGTCCTTAGAAGATACCCCACTAAAGTTAGGGGGAAATAACCTCTTCACCCGCTCAACTTACATCGTGGGTCTCTCCCCGGTCTATGGATCAACAACTGTATAGGGTCTGATACCAGTGAGCCATATGCTCTAGAGCATGGGTAGCGGGAGTCTGGGCTCCTCCCCCAGCTTTAGAAATGTCTGGTGCCACAGGAAATACACCAGCATGGTCCATACATTCCATAAGAACAACCATGCGGACTAAGGTGTCCTGAAGCACTAGGTAGCGATAAACCCCTCTAGGACCTAAGTTGGTCCTACTGGCTCTATCGAAATAAGGATCTCCTCCTGCTCTAGCGGATGCTCAACAACAGGTGCCATTGTGCGTTCTCTAGGCTAAGCTCTACCACTACCTCTGGCTATACCTCGGCCCCGGCCCCGGCCCCGGCCCCAAGTAGTGGCTGCAAACTGGGGCTTCGGCTCCTGATCAACTACGGATGTCATATGTGTCCTCACCATCTATGAGAGAATAAGAGAAGAATAACTCAAACTCAGTGATATAACAAAGTCGCACTGTAGAGAAAGAAAGAAAGAAAGTGAAATTTTCTAAAGCTTTATAACCTCTAGAAAATATGTACAAACGTCTCCATACAAATCCTCAAGAATCTACTAAGCTTACTCATGACTTGTGAAACTTATGCAACCTAGCGCTGTGATACCAACTTGTCACAACTTAAAATCCCAACCAATCTAGGTCGTGATGGTGCCTAACAATGCTTGCTAGGCAAGCCAACACACAATAGATAAATAGGAAGAACTGCTATAAAAGACTGACAATAGAGTAATAACATAATGTAAAGACAATTCTAATATAAACACAATAAGTCTAAAACCAACATCTAATGCGAATATCCCAAGATATGGAGTCACAAGTACACGAGCTTCTATATTATACGATATACAATGTTTGATAGGAAATATAAAAATGTCCTAAAGAAATTGGGAACTGTACATTGGAATCAGAAAAGTGACTCTAAGGCCTGTGGACGGAATGCAGCTCTACCTTGACTCACCGCCTGGTATCTGCTAAGTACCTCTCGGGACTCCGCTGGAACCAGTGTCAAGGTTTGCATAAGAAGTGCAGAAGTGTACTATGAGTACAACCGACCCAATATACTCAGTAAGTTTCGAGCCTAACCCGACGAGGTAATGACGAGGCTAAGACAAGACACCTACTAAAAACTTGGGCAGTTATACATCAAGAAGTAATAAAATAGAAGATAAAGAATCAAATATGACAACAGGATAGGGACATGTAAAAGGGACAACAAACAAAAACATTAAGTAAAAAATCACCAAGTAAACGTCCTTTCATAGTAAATAGCGAAACCACCAAGTCAATTTTACATTCCAAATATCAAGGCAAAGCAATAAAGTCAGCAAATTTGTACGGCATCACCCTTCGTACTTTTACTTGTGAGCACGTGATTTTTGCCCTATATGAATTACTCCATAAATTCAAAACAAAATAATTTCTTTTCATTACTTGCAATTTTGTGGATTTTCGTGGCATTTTCTGTTAATTGTTCGCATTTGTTTGTGCATGTTTATTTTATTTAATTCATGAAAAATACAAAATATGTTGCATTTGCATTTAGGATTTAATTTTGCATTAGTTAGTAATTTATTTGTGTTACAAAAAATAGAAAATCACAAAAAAATAACTCATTTTGGCATTTAGTTTCGAATCGTGCAGTTTTCTTTTAATTTGGTAGTTAATTAGCTGTTGTAAATATTATTTTGAATATTAATATAATATGGTAGGATAATTTTGGTTTAGAATTAATGTAGGTTTTATTTTTAATTTGAAAATAAAGAAAAAGATTTGAAAAGAAATGGAAAGAAAAAAAAAGAAATTGAAAGATAAGTCTGTTTGGGCCATTTTTAATTGAAATTCCTCAGGCCCAAACATTTGGCTCAAAAAAACCCGTCCAAATTTAGCCCAATATTACACTTAAAACCCGGTCCAGTCACCCTAGGAACCAAAACGACGCCGTTGCAGGTAAGCAAATCTTGGCCGTCGAGGTTTTCAGATCTAACGGCTACGAAGTAGGGTCCTCGTGATATAAGAGTGTCTGAAGGGCACCCCCCCACCCCCTTCGTCTCTCAACGACCTTACCCCTCACAAACCCTAGAGCCGCCGCCATAATACACTTCGTCAAGCTCGCCGGTGGCAATGACACAAACCGCCCCAATCGCTACCAAATTCATACCACCAACTCATCTCGACCCCCCCGTCATGAATCCATCACTACCTTCCATCAAACAAGTCTGAAGATCCTCGAATTTAAACTTTAAAACTATGAACCCTAGCGCCGCCACAAATTCTCCGGTGGCGGAGCCACCGCAAACCAGCCCCAAACAAACAACCTGATATCTCCTCACTCTTCTCTCCCCAAATCTACCCTCAATTGACCTTGAATCATCACCAGTCGACTCAAATATCGGATCGAAAATCCGGTCAAAATCTTACCTGCTTCGAATGACCCCAAATCCACACCCTAGGCTCCTCACCTCCTCCTCATTCCATATCTAGCTTTGGTTTTTCCTCGAACCACAACCGAACGGCTCGAATGGTGATTTGAAAATCTGACTCAAAACCCTAAGTCTTCCAAAAGGTCCCAAAATCATACACCAAGTCTTCCTAAACCTCCTCGCTCTGAAGTTCAAGTTGGAATCCATCGAATCCAAGCGCAAGCCCACAAATCTTGAATATAGGGTTTGAAGAACTTTAGTCCATGTAGGCGTTCAAGCTGGTCTAAATTAGTGAGTTTTATTCTCGATTTTCATTATTTCTTTGTTTTCATGAATGCTTAATTATGTTCTTGGTGATAGTTAATACGACTTTAGTTTCTGTGCTGTTTTGTTTTTTTTAGTTTAATCATGATCTTTTTTTTTCTTTTCTTCTGTGTAATTCTATTAGTGTAAACGTTTAAATGTTAGTTCAATTAGTTCAAGCAATTAACTGTTAGTTAGTTTTGATTCAATTTTGGTATGTCTGCTCTTCTTCTAATAATAATAATTTGTTCGTTTGAATTCTTCAAGATTAGGGTTAATTAGTTTTTTTTAATGGTTTGTTTCATGTTTTGAATCCGTATTTGTTCAGTAAATGTGCAGAAGTTAGTTTTTTTTCAGTAGCTATTCTAATTGGTCTAAGCAATCGATTTAAGTCCTGTTAATACATGATTGCGATTAAGTAATTGTTCCTAGTTTGTT